TTGTTCCTGTTCTTCTTCCCTTTTCTCCTTTTCTTTGTTTTCTACTTCTTCATTCTCGCTGTTTCTCTCTCTAACATGATACTGTTGGTGCCATAACTTCTGTATGCATCAATACAAAAACTTTTTTTGTTACACTTTGGCGGTTGCTGCATCTGCTGCAGGTTCCTCGAGTTGCGGTTGATGGCGAAAAGCCAAAGAGGAGAATCTTTCTCTCCATTTGCTGCTGCTGCTGCTGCTGCTGCTGCTGCTTCTTCTTCTTCTTCTGCTGCTGCTGGCTGTATACGGCCATAGTATTGATGTTTTTTTCTTTGTGTTGTTGGGGCTTGGTAAAGCAAAATTTCTTTTTAAGAATACCTTTTCGTTACGAACGCCTCCGGCGGCCTTTATTTTGTTTTTCTTTATCTTAATTTGTTTTGTTTTACTTTCTTTTTATACAAAAATCTTTTCATTTATTAATTTATTTTGTTTTATTTCCTTTTTATACAGAAACATTTTCACTTACTGTTTGCATTTCAAGTCTAGTATTGCAATACAGCTAGTCGTAGCCCTCTCGTGTGTTTCGTTCAGTTCGTGACGTTCTCCAGTTTATTATAAATAATTAAAAATGTAAAAAAAGAGGAATTCCGCTCGATAGCAGTTTAATGTTGCAGTCTGCTGCAGCTGTTTGTCGCTGCAGCAGCAGCAGCAGCAGCTCACCGCTTGCCTTTGATTGCTAATTCATTCTTTTGGCTGTGTGCCTTACCAATGAAGAAAACATAAAAACAATCCACAGAAAATAAAATACAGCAAAAACTTTCTTAAAATATTTTCTTCATTTATCTTTTTACTGCCCCCCTTGGGGTAAAACGACGGGTTCTCGCTTCTGTGGATTGTTGTCGTTTTCTTTTTCCTTCTTTCTGCTTCGGCTTTCTCTCACACTCACCGCTCAACCTTCCCCAGATAGCTAGCTAGGCAGCTAGCCAGATAAGCAGCTAGCTAGCTGATTGATACCTAACAGCTAGCTACCTGCTTAGCTAGCCAGCTAGCGATCAACCAAGCTAGCTAGGCGTTTCCAGGCTACAGGCGGCAGCAACCCACGGCGCGCTAGTCCCTGCACTGGCAGGCTTTGCCTTGGTGTCTGTCTGTCTGTTTCTTTGTCTACTTGTTTGTCTGTCTATCTCTCTGTCTGTTTGTCTTTTTGTTTGTTTGTATGTCTATGTATCTATGTATGTATGTCTACTTGTTTATTTGTGTGTGTATCTGTCTGTATCAATCGAAAGTTCAAAGTTTCAGTGAAAACCCAAAACTGGCTAGCTGCGGCTAGCCACGGCTAGCTGCGGCTAGCCAGCTAGCGAACACATAGGCCTCAACGCCCTCCACCTCTCCCTCGTCTGGCGGATCCTCTTCTTACGGCTGCTGCTGCTGCTGCTGCTGCAGCTGCTATCTTCTTGGCTGCATTTGCTGCAGCCTGGGGCCTTCGCTGCGGTTTCTGCTGCTCGGCTTGCTGCTGCTGTTCTGTGTGTCTCTGCGGCGCTTCACCCTTTATATCTGTTGCCTCATTCTCTTTGTCTTGGGGGTTTCCTTGTTTTGTTTTATTTGTTTTATTTGTTTTATTTGTTTTATTTGTTTTACTTGTTTTGGCTTTCATTCCTCCAACTGGCCCCGGGCCTTGCGGTGAGCAGACGCCTCCTTCTTCCGCCCCCATGGGCTCTCCTGCTGCTGTTTCAGCGGCATCCGAAGCAGCAGCAGCAGCAGCATCTGCAGCAGCAGCAGCAGCAGCTGTAGCAGCAGCAGGAGCAGCTGTAGCAGCAACAGCAGCAGCTGCTGCTGCGCGACTGACTTGGGTTGGAGATGCTTTATCGCCGTGTGCTGATTTGAGCGTTGCTGCGGAGGGCCTCCTCTTTGCAGCATTGTTGCTGGCGGGGGGCCCCTTCGTTGCTGCTGGGGGCCCCTCTGTTGCTGCTGGGGGCCCCTCTGTTGCTGCTGGGGGCCCCTCGTGAGGCTGGCGTTGTGTCTGGGTGGCTCGCTTCTTAAGCTTCTGCTGCACTTCCCCTTGGGGGCCCCTCTTCAAGGGTCTCGCGGCACGGCGGGCACAGGGGCCCCCTGAAGGCGGGGCTGCAGCAGCAACACTGCAGCTACCATCCGGCTTTGTCTGTCCTTCTTGCTGTTTCTGCTGGTGGTCTAGCTGCTGCTGCTGCTGGTCTTGCTGCTGCTGCTGCTGGTCTCGCTGTTGTTGCTGCTGGTCTTGCTGCTGGTGTTGCTGGTCATGTTGTTGTTGCTGTTGCTGTTGTTCTTGTGTCTGTTGCAGCGTTTGTTGTTGCTGTTGCTGTTGCTGTTGCTGCTGCTGCTGTTGTTCCTGCTGCTGCTGCTGCTGCTGCTGCTGCTGCTGCTGC